AGGGCTCACCCAAACAGCCAACATTCACTATCCTTTTTTTAGAGGAAATTTAAAGCTCTCCTGGTTAGATGATATGAAAATTGGCAGAGAGAATGTACTGGAGAAAAAAAAATAGCATGTAAGTAGTGAAAATACTGCAGTGCAGGATAAGGACAGGGGGCAAAAAAAAGAAATCTGGGCCTGAACCCATATGAAAGGCAGCAGGCAACTGTACACAACGAGAACAAAGTGATTGAAGCCGTAATGTTGCAGAAAGAAAGCAAGTAGATAAATTTAGAAGTGGAATGTGGGATGCCTTTTAGCAGGGCATTTAGATTAGGTACTTGGGGAAGAGCCACAACAGGTGGTTGAAGTTGCATAACGATCAAAACCTGGAGAAAGAAATTTTATACGCATACTGAATTTCTAAAAACCTGACAAAAAGGACTGTATAGATGTATGAATAGAAGAACAAAGAGCTAAGAATAAACCTGTCTGAAATATCCATATCTGTTATGAATTACAGATAGTGAAGGAAAAGAGCTTTCTGCTTTCTTCAAAATACATAGTAAGAGGGTTTAGGGTTTTTTAATGAAGAGTGAGAAAAAACCCTTAGTATGGGATTGTGCCATGAAAAGCCTGAAAACTTTTTTTTTTTTTTTTTTGCAGGGTGGGGTGAAAACACAGAGGAAGAAATAAAAGGGTAAAGAAACTATGTTCAGGAAAGGTTTTCAAGGCTTTCACCAGTGGTCTTTACCTCATGCTTTATGTCCTCCTTTTAAAAACAATTTTTCTTCTTTGTTTCATTTTCTGCTACATATGATGACATAGACGATTATAGGGAGTCAGAAAAAAACACTAAAAATCATGGCGAATGGAGAAACATACTAATGTTTCTTTATAAAATTAATACCATCTGTTTGAACCCAGAAGAGGAAAATTTATGAATATATTATTAAAAGTGTATTTTTGAGAACAAACTAAGAACCTGCTGGTATTGCTTGTATAGCTTTGTGGCTGCCTCACGCTCTTTTGCCTAATTGTAGGTGCTTTGTTCTTAAAATTACCCTGGCAGATAGATCAGCAAGTAGCGACTAAGGAGCATGAAGTAATTCAAATTTTGTTTACATAGTTGCCTGAAAGCATGAAGATTCTGCAGAGGACAAGGATTACTGACACATTGTGCATAGAGGAATATTGGTTGTCTGGTGTAGGAGGCAAGCAATGGAATTGCGAGGTGAAAGACAGTAAAGAAAGAGGACATTTTAACCAAACACATACTCATCTCCTGCAAAATACTTGATTTGCTGAGATAGCAAATTTCTATTATTTTCTATTGAAACAAAAAATCGACCCGTTTTGGTTGTGAGTTTCTAGGTCAGCTGGAGATGTTTTTCACAGTTTGCAGGGGAAAATAAATGGAGGGATTTTTGTGAGGAAATATGGTATGTCTTGAGTCCCTTGCATGTAGCTGCATCATCATGGCAGTTTTTCAGTGGTCTTTTTTTTTTTTTTCCTAACTTCTTGGGAAAAAAAATCATAATAGTGTTTTCCATGACTTGTAGGAGTTTGATAGTTTATTCACTGTGGCTTTTTACATACGTGCTTTACTGAATTAGGTGTTGTCCACCTACTGTATTTTAATACATTGAACACAAGATTGTTGTATTGGGGGGGAAAAAAGAGATTTTTTGGAAGGACTTTCTTTTTCTGGCTCATAAAATCTATAAAATTTGTTAATAAAGAGTTTGTATTTCCAGGACAATGCATGAATGTTGTTTGAAAAGGGGGTGAAATACAAAACCTAGGAAGCACGGACTAGTTCAGGATTCATAAGGGGACAAGTTGTGTTGTCACTACAAATTCTTGATGTTCTCTCTGCATGAAAGAAAAAATGATTGCCTGCAACATTGCCGAAGAGCGCCCAGAGGCACTGCTGCTTTTGAGCTACCTGCACTGCTGACATTGGCCAACGTCGTCTTTACCATTTCTGGTTGTAGCAGTTTGCACCTCCTGCTACAAGTATCAAAATGTGGAGTTGGGCTAGTACTAAAAACTGAACAGTAGAGAGACTTTGCTTCAATACAGAAATTCTGAGAACCTACACCTTCGTGAGTGGAGGCAGAGGGATTTTATTTTGTTAGTGGCTGTTCAATTTAACTAAATTTAGTAGCTTTTCAGATTCTGGGGTTTTCAGAGTAAGTTGTGCCTTTGCAACACCTGGGCTACGCTTGGAAAGCGTAGACTCAGGGAGCCAAAACATTCTTCAGAAACTAGAGTAAATGATTGAAAACAGATTTTATTTTTCTTAAATCTTTAATTCCCACAACAATTTTAACTCTGAAAATTATACACTTGTGACAGTTATTGAAGAATATAGTAGTTCTTTGTGGATCCAGTTCCGCTATGACTGAAGTTACTGACTCATCCTTGCTTTTAAATTAGAAAAAATATATTTTTTATGAATATAAATCATTTTTTTCCTGATACAGCTTACATAAATGAAAAGTAAAATGCATTATATTCGTAAGTATTGGCTTCAAACACCTACTTTTGGTTAAATGAGACGTACTGAACACTAATTATATGTCATTATTGTTAATTTGAAGTAGAACAGTGAATTCTGCCATTTGAGAGTTGCCAAAGCCAGAAAAACACATAAGTGCAATTTGGTTTAGGATCACAGAAGAGCAGTATGTCATTTTAGTGTCCTAAGGAAGGAAGGATTAAGTGAAGGGGAAGGCTGAAGACAAGTTGCGTTTGATTTCAGAAGAGCAGCCAAGTTCCTCCATTTTGAAGATGTTTCTTGCTGGCTCTACAGTTCCGTGGGCTTCGTTCCCATTCCTCCTGCACGGAGCGATGCCGCGTAGTGCCCCAGTGCCGCTGCCACGATGCTTCTGGAGCGAAGGACTCGGGCTGTCAGTGAGGCCTGAGAGCCAGCAGAGGGAGGAATTCCGCTCGGGAGACTCCTGCGGCAGCAAAACGGAGCAATATGAAATAAGGCCGGAAATTGACTCAAATTGCTGGTTTTATCATAGACACTGATAAACAGCCGACGTACAAACTGTTCTGTGTGTATGTGGGTATGGTGGGTTTTGCTTTTTCCAGGAGACTGGCTCGACGGCTCTTGAGAGTTCTGTGCGCCCAGCTAGGCCGCGCGCGGCTCCTGCGAGTACCTCAGCAGCGCCGGGGGCTCAAAACACCTCCGGGGCAGGCCCGTAACTGGGCGACTGAGAGCCGGGGAATAAAAGCCCAGCTTTCTACCGCAGAAATATGGCATAACCTCCCGTATGGGTAACTGCTGCTACTTGAACTGCAAGATTTGCAGCCTTACGTTGATATGTGAGCCAGCAGCCAGGCTGTACCAGCTTTGTTGATTCAGCAGAGGAACAGACTGAAACCTTAACAGAAAAATAAATCCTTCTGATTGCTTTTCTGTTGGACACAGTTCTTGGAACTGTTTTTCTTTTGCTTTTGGACTTCAAATGCAAAAATATATATATACTAGAGCTGTTTGGTAGATGGGAATAAATCCCTGTGGGGGTAGTGGGAATACACATTCTGTATTCCTACCACAGATCTGTAGTTATGTCTGTTGGCCTTTTTGTCATAACGTACCTACACATTATAGCAGTTGTTAGTTTTGTCTTCTCGTTACCTACATTAATTTAGAATATATCTGAACACTGAGGGAAAGGCACTCATTAATTTATACTATCGTTTTATACTATACTATGGATTGTTTTATGCTGAGGTAAAACAATTTATTTGATTTGATTTCCTATCTACTTTTCATTTTCAAACTTCAATTTAGGTTTAATGCAGGCACCTGAAATTTAAGGAGTCATACTATTTCTGACAGGAAAAACTGAAGCCATTCATATTCATTCTCAAAATGAACTAATAAAACTTATCAGTTCTCTGGAATTTTCATCTTGACAATCAAATATTTTTCTGTCTTTTGTTATCATTTACAGATGAATCTACCCAAACAATTTAGTTGTTTTTATTTTTCAGTCAAGGAGGTATATCTTTGCTTTTTTCAGGCCAGTTAACCTCACTATTGAAAGTGTTGCAGCAGTCTGAGCCTTTGTTCCTATATTTCTAAACTCTATAGCCTCTGAAATGTGGAGCATCTTTCTTAACGACTTCTAAACAGCAACTATAAAAGGACAGTTTTTGTTCGGAAAACCTGAGCTGGAAAGGATGTTTTATTGCTACACTCTTTGCACACATATCTCGTTGAGACCATTCTGATGCATTGCTTCTAGTCGAGAGAAATGGTTTTTCCTTTGTATCGTACCTTCAAAGCTTATCAGCTTTTCCCTTCTAGCAGCTTTTGTAAAAGCACTGGTAGAAAGACACTGTCAGTGAAATGCTTTTAATAATGTTTCCATTAACGCGAGAGGTTTCCTGCATTGTAGGTTCAGACGATCTCATTCTGTCACTCAGAATTAATGCAGAGGTATTATATTAGAATATAAATGCTCTGCTTCCAGCAGCTTTAGTTGCCTGCAACATTTTCTCTCGCTGTTTTTTTTTTTTTTTTCCTTTCTAGATCTTTTGTACTGAGTTTTGGAACTTATTTCATGCTGTCTACCATTTACTGATAGAAAATTTATTTCTTGAAGTTCAGGAAATAGTAGATGTTATTAAATGGTGAGAAACTGATAATCCAATGGAAAAAAAGTGTTGACAATGCATAGTGACTTAATTCTTAGTCATGCTGTGGGTTTCTGTGAAAATACATATCTACTTGATTCCACCCTTCAGGAGGCCCGCTAGCATTTTTAGACTGATGAGACTATTTTAGTATGTGTGAAATTTCTTCTGAAAAATGTATATCCATATAAACAAAAAGCACAACAAAACCTGCAAGTTCTTGTCCACTTGTCTTGCCTCTTGTCACGACTCAGTCCAGTCTGTTCCCCTCCTGCTTGGCTGCTCAGGAAGATGAAAGTGGCGGTGGATATCGTAGCACAGAAAATGCCATCTGAAAATGATGTTCATGGGGCGAGAAACTATCTTATGAAGATCTTGAGAAGTTCCATGAGGTACAGTACTGGCTTTACAAGTGCATCCCTTCCCACTGATCGAATTCCTCCTACCGTTTGCCAGTCCCATAGGAAACCTTCACAGAAGTCCTTGTTCCCTAACCTTAATTTCCTCACACTCCAGACCTCACTTGCGCTGTGCTAGTTTTCTAGTCTTGTGTTTCCTTTGTGGTGCCTGATAGTACCGTAATTGTCTCGTAGTATAGAAACGTCTTTGTGGAGTTGATGCCTAGAAGGTATATTGAATTTGCCTAAAGAGCTATTTATGGTTGGCCTGGCTGATAGCAGCAGTATTAAAATGAGCAGTGGAAAAAGAGCAACAGAGCAATGGCTTGTTTTTTTTTCAATACCTGAATATAAATTTGGGGCCCTTGAAGTATGCATGGACTATCTGGAGGTGAGTATCACATGGCTTAGCAGAATCTTTTGCACGTCTTTGCAGTGAGAGTATTTTGCCTCCCCCACTCCCTTTTTTGTTTTCATATCCTATCAAGTAGTGTAGCTGTTTTCTCTCTTCCCATGCTAAGAAGAGAAGGCTTTTGTTTAGGGAAACAATTAGTTCATTATTTAGTGACAGCAGTGATGCTATACTAGTGAAATTACATCTTCCCTGTAAAATTGTTACTGTGTTTTTGTAATCCTGCATGCAGAGTTTGGGAAAGAAATTAGGAAGAAGCCTCCCTGGACACATATATATACCTGTCTGTGTAAAACCTTACCAAAGACTTATTTACTGTTGCTATGTTATAAAAGAGTCATAAAGCTCATTAGTACTTTGAACTGTTAAAGTTCTGTATGCATTTCAGGTACTTAAAAATTGTGTTTGCTTGTCTTAAAAAGAAAGAAAAGAAAAAAGAGACAGACACAAAAACCACCCTACCACAAACCTCAGATGGAATTGTTGTTTCACTGTATCCCAAGCATTTTAAAGGAATTAGGATATCTTTTCAAAACTGTCATGCATGTAGAAAATTGGACCAATTTGCTGTAATTTAAAGTTGTTATGCCTCTATTCTGTCTGTGCAAAGTTTAATTGACAAGTGCCACTAGCTTTTCTTCTGCATGTCACCTTACTCGCATGTCACCTTAATTGCATTAAACCAATACACTCTCTCTCATTTCAGAAGATGTGACCTAGCCTGTAGGCCTCACTCCTGGCATGCAACCAAATTTACAGAAAGTCAACCCGAGGCAGCCACGTCACACCTTGCTTCAACCAATGCCTGCACCTCTTGGCACTCACGGTATCATGCAAGGTGAGTCCCTGCTTACATTACCTGCATCCAGCTCCAGCGGCAAGGCAGTAACAATGTAGGTCATGTTGTTCAGGGTCTTCTTAAAGCACGAATGCCAAAACATTTTGCAGGGCTTCTTTATTATTGCCTGTCCCTTCAGCACTTAAAAGAGGAGTATTGGAAGTGTGACGTACGGGTGAATGGATTTCAGAAACGCTGTGTGATACATGCGTGTGACTGAAAGGTAAGGAAATGTTTTTGAAGGCAGTCAGGAGTTTATTTGCTTGTTCTGCGTTCTCCTGTCGGTGTTCACTGGTAAAATTGTAAGCCTTTGTATGTGCAAGCGAAAAGAAGCCATAAAAGTTAACATATTTAAAGTAAAATAGCTAAGGGAGAAAAAAAGCAGAAAGAATTGTTTCAGGCTTCATTAGAAAGCCAAAAGGAAGCATTCAGAGTATTTTCCTGATGGACTTTATAGTACTGCTGGTGCTGGCCTTTCTGTAATCTGATCTTCATTACAGCGGTGTTTTTTGCTTGTGTGGAGAGGTAGCAAGACCAGTGATTTTCATTGTTTGTTTAAAACTCTTCAGTAGTTGTTGTCTTGATCAGCATATGGAAGAAAGGCTGTCACCCATGCATTTTTAGTTGTGAAACTTCTAACTTTAAAGGGAATGCCCATATGTGCTTGATTACAAGCTCATGGTTTTCTTCTTGCTTGTAGATTATATTCTTTAGCATTTTCATGGGGAGAATAGGGGGAGTTAATTTTTTTATTGCTTTGATTCCTCTCAAATAAATCCCTTTGGGACATAGTTAGACTGGGCATTAAAGAAAAAAAAATTAGTCTGGAAAACATTTCCGATTTGCAAGGTATTCTTGTGCTTTCTGTACTTACTGCTGTGCATTCTCAGTCATCACTTCCTGATGTTAACTTATTATGGCATTTAAAACAAAACAACAGAACATTCATGCTCTAGGGAACTTTGGAAGTTCCCTACCATTTTTTTAAAATAACTTGCAGTCTGTCCCAAGTAACATATGGGTGTTTACTTTTAGACAGAAGTCTTTTTTTTTTTTTTTAATGAAAATTACCTTGTAACACTTAATTCATTACCAGAGGCCTTACCATATTATATTTCCCAAGTCCTCCATTATACTTTCTCTCATTTCGGATAGATTTGTGGAGTTTGTATTTAAATTTCATATAGATGGATTAAGTTAGAACCATATATATAAAAGCAGTAAGTAACCTCATAGAAGGAAACAAAATTCAGAAATTCCTAAAAAACTAAGTGTTCTTGGTTGCAATGGTAACATAAGAGTACCTCTAGTTTCAATCTATGGAGTCTTTTGACTGAGCTGTAAATTTATACAAGCTTTCTGTTTTTCCTTGTCACAGTTAGGTTATGCAAGGCAGATTCTCTGGGAGTGTGAAAAGATGTTGATGTCAACTGGGTGAATCATGGGATACTTTTTTTCCCTGAAATTTGTTTAAAAAACAGTTTCTAATGAAATTTCTGAAATGAAATTTGGGAGGGGCGGGGGGGGGCAAAGAGAAATAGGAATTAAAAAAAAGCAATTCTCCTCCTTCTCTCCTCCCTGCACAACTGCTAACAGACTGGCATTAACGAAAGGGCCAAAAAAAGAGATTGTTTTTCTTAGAAGCTGTTAATAGATTTAGTGGCTGCAGTAGAGTCAAAGATCAGGGTTCCCAGGGCTTTGTTATTCCTGCCAGTGGTCACCTGCGCTGATCACTTGTAAGTTTGCCTGTTGAGAGATGATTTGCTCGGGACATCTACCAGTCCTGCTGTCTGTGGCCTAGGGCTGCGTCTGTAGCAGAGCTGACTTGGCACTGCGGTTCCCGGGAGCACAGCGCTCCTTGGGTGCCAGCCCAAGGATAGGGATATTTTCAGAGTCGTGGTTGCAAAGCAGAGTTCCTTGGGCTTTCCAGTCTGCACAGAAGAACATGAGCTACTTCAGAGATGCCCCGTTGTCAAGGTACAGTTCCCACAATCAAGAAACACCAAATGCTGTAAGGCAATCACCAAAATGAGTGGGATTAACAATGGTCCGTGGCTGAAAGGGGCAGTGTGCAAGAACATAAGAGAAACGGCCCAAGCAGGAGATATTTCTGGAATTTCTAGACTTGTAAATGAAGGCTTTCTTGCACTATTTCCATCTTTATTTTGACCAATTGCAAGTATCTTAGGCCAAAGAGAAAGAATAAAGGAATCTGCGTACCGTACTGAAGCCTGGCTTACATTCTTTGATCCCAATAATGATCAAGGCACTTTTTACATGAACCATAGGAAAACGACGTGAACTACAGGATAGTTAAGACCTCCTTCTTTATTCAGTGAGATGCTTTGGAATGCTAAGGATACAAAAATGATAAAGCACCCCACAAGATAAATATAATGCTAATGTATCATATTAAAAATTTATTTTAGAAAGTACACACAAACTATACTTTCTCTTCGCATAAATTACGTTTTTACCATGCTTTATTAAAAAACCCCAAAGACAACAGAAATATAAGAAAATTTACTATTCTCATACTAAGTGTAAATTGTAAAGAACTGTTTAGCTTTCTTTTGCAGTATTTTGGAAAGAAAGAACGACTGTGCTCTTTATGTTTTTGATATGAAGTGACCTGATTTCACTGCTAGCTTTCACAGGTCTCTTTACTGCACAAGAGCTGATAGATGTTTGTATAATTATAGCTACAGGGAAGTAGAACAGTTCTGGGATTTCTACCAACGGGCTTTGCATGCAAGGACAAGAAGCTGAATTTGCTATATAAAAGCAGGAGGGACTGCTAGTGAAGTTCCGACAGGGAGGTGTGGTGAGAGGAATTGGAGAGAGTATCATCTGGGCATCAGGGTGTTAAGCTGATAAGAGGTAGGTCCTGGGAAAGATATAAAAGACAAGAACTTCCGAAATAAAAAGCAAAACAAAACAAAACTGGTGTTTAGTAGGAAAACAACATAAGCAGCAAAATTTTGAAATACTGAAAAATAAGCCAGAGAAGGGTAACAGTGTCAAAGATGACATCTCTGTATGGGAAAGACCAGCCGAGAGGAAGTGGTGGTGATTTCTGAAGAAGGGTCAGAAATTCAGTTTTGGTAATTAAGAACTGTAATTGCAATTAATGTGTTTTCTTGGAGTTTTGTTATCAAGTGTTGCAGAATTGGGTGGAGCTGAATGACACTGGAGGACACTCTCCAAATTTTCTATTTTATTAGATTGCGTGTCTTCAGTAAGAGACATTTCTACTATGTAGATGGATTTAACCAAGATTAGCAAAGTTGGTATTATTTTACTGTGTGGAATTTTTGACTTAAGTTGGTTTTTTATTTGTTTGTTTTATTTTTCCTACGGTAGCTCCTCATCTCATGACCTGTCAAACTCATGGGATCACTCAAGTCTACATCGCACTTCTGATCAGTTCAGCTCTTTGGGAAGTATGGACAGCTGGGACCACACTCCACACATAGGCCAGTATGGAAGACTTTCTTCTGCAAAGTCTAACAGCAGCATTGATCATCTAGGCAGCCAAAGTAAGCGTGATTCAGCCTATGGGTCCTTCTCCACAAGCTCAAGCACCCCTGACCACACTCTATCCAGTGTAGACACTTCTTCAACAGAAAATATGTTATACAAAGTAGGCCACTGGGAGACTACAAAGCATGGAAACAAGTCTGGCCAGATTGTGAACGATAACAGTGGAATAGAAGACAAACCAGGATATCTGCCAGCTCCCACCCAGTACGAGAACAGCAAAAGCCCTAGAATAGAGGAACACCCTGATATGAAGCTCACTAGCTCTGGAAGATCTAATTTTGGCCCTGTCTGGTATATTCCTGATAAGAAGAAGTCCTCATCTCCTCCTCCCCCGCCTCCACCCCTTCGCAGTGACAGCTTTGCTGCTACCAAAGGCCATGAGAAGGCCCACGCTCCTGTGCTCCCAGAGGGTGCCAGCACGCAGCACTTTACCGCCCCGAGCCGGCTGCAGCCCAGGAGCGACTGGAACTCAGAAGCTGTGGAGCAACAAAGGTGGCTTTCCAGAGCGGGTGATAGGAGGGTCAGTAACTCCAACTATAAAACTGATCTTAGTATGGAATACAGTTTTTCCTCTGGTGAAAGGTACAACAGTAACACCGGAGCTGTGAACAAACTGCAGTCGTCTTTGTCCAGCACTGATGTTCGCTTTGTGCAGCCTGCTTACAGTTACCACCACCAGCACCAGTACAGCGACGAAAGCACTTTTTTCCACAATGCAAGAACGTTGGCTTCGCCTAAAGATCAGCAGCATTTTCTCTCCTATGGTGGCATTCAGGAGTTACCTGCCGATCACTTTCATTGCTACAGTCCAAACCAAGCCAGGCTGCTCAACACTCCCTCCTCTCTGAACAGCGCTGTTGAACAGAAGCTGGACAACACTGGACAGAGTCGCTATTACTGTGTGACAGCGAAACAGCCTCAGGGAAGTTTGAAGCCACTTCAACTCAAGGATGACAGCTGGAAGCCCATCATGGGTGCTGATGCATCTCTTGGACCTCATGAAAACCCTGCAGTTGTCACAATGGTCC